TTGCGTGACAGCAATTTGAAACAGTAATCCGTGCCTTTGTAACCGTTCGGCTGGATTACTGTAATTCTCTTTATTTTGGGGTGAGTCAATCTCCTGCTTTTTGACTGCAGCTAGCTCAGAATGCTGCTGCACGTCTTTTAACTGGCACTCGTAGATGCGAGCACATCACCCAGTTTTATATTCACTTCATTGGCCGCCCGTGCATTTTAGGATCATATTAAGCTGCTTTTATTTGTTTTTAAATGTTTGTCCAATGCTGCCCCTCTGTACCTCTCTGAGCTTCTTCATACAGACCAGCTCCTCCTGAGCATGCCCAGGACTAACCGTGAGCTCAGAGGGGATCGGGCGTTTGCTGTGGCAGCACCAAAACGGTGGAATGAGTTGCCTTTACATGTTAGACAGGACCTTCCTTATCTGTTTTTAAATCACGTCTTAAAACATATTTGGCTTTTAGCACAGCAGGACTTGTTGATGTCTCTTAATATGTTTCTTATTAATTATATTATTTTTCAATTTTAAGATATTCTATATGTAATGTAAACTGCTTTCTCTTTGTTTTATATTTGTAGTACGTTGGCCAACATTGTTGGATGTAAAGTGCCTGATAAATAAAGATGCTATGCTATTCTAAGGAACAAATATGATATTGAAAATGTGATAAATAAAAATGAATAAAAATAAGACTGCAAGTTTTTGACAGCTGCAAAATTCACGGGCAGCAGCCTTTTGTGTGTCCGTGTGTGCCGCATGAAAAGAAATACATTATTCAGTTATCACACAATTAACTTTGACACAAGGGGATATAAAAAGCAAGGGCTCGTCCGGGATTTGAACCCGGGACCTCTCGCACCCTAAGCGAGAATCATACCCCTAGACCAACGAGCCACAGAAAACATCTGCCCACATCTGGACTTCTGACATATACTTGTGTGTGAATCCTGCAAAGTTGTGATGTGGCATTTGGTCCTCACTGCTTCATCCAGTGCAACACCGCCCTCTGCTGGTGGAAAACGTTATAAGTCTTCATCTTGTTAACAGACGCCCCCACTATATGCTAGAGCATTTTTATGGTATCTATGTACCTTTTTCACTAGAGATGTGTAAAAACAACATTTATTTATTCAATTGCACAAACATAATTATACAAAAAACATTAAAAAGCGTTTAAGGGACAGGAATACACCCCTGTGCCTCATCCCCGTGGTCTGCCAGGATGGCGCGCCGCTCCTCCGTGACTCCTGTCCTCCTCCACAATCTGAGGCCGCTGTGTCCCTGTGCCGCTGGGGCTTGTACCTCACCCCCGGCTCCTGTCAGGATTGGGCTGGTAAACGCCAGATCGCTGGTGAACAAAAAGGATTTTAAAAAGGATTTTAAATGTAAACAGTGTTTTTTACAGCCCTCGTCTTCCAGTTTTGAGCTTGAACTCTGTGCTCTTTGTTGTTATTTATCGTCACCCTAAATACAATAAGAATTTCATAAATGACTTTTCAGAATTTCTAGCTGGGATTATACCCAACTACGCTCATGTTCTTATTGTGGGAGATTTTAATATCCAATTCTCATGTTTGTTTTTAAATGTTGAAACGGTCTTGCCCCCAATTTACCTCTCTGAGCTTCTTCATCCTTACTCACCCCCCAGGTCTCTCAGGTCAGCTGACAAGCTGCTCCTGGAGGTACCCAGGTCCAAGAGGAAGCTCAGAGGGGGCGGGGCTGCTCCTAATCTGTGGAACAATCACATTAGAGAGGCCCCCTCACTGTCCACTTTTAAAACACGTCTTAAAACCCATTTTTACTCCTTGGCTTATGACACAATCAGCACCTGATTTTATTGTTTTAATCTAATGCCATGATTTTTATTGTTTTAAATGTAATTCTAATTATCATTTTATTCTATTCTATTATTGTTTTTGCTATTTGCGCCAATTTTATTACTTTAAATGTTATTTTAATTGTCATCTTATTTTTTAAAAATATTTCTCTATTTTATATTATTTATTTTTTAAACTTGTTTAATGTATCATGTTTGGCATGTCAAGCAGGGACGTGCGGGGGGG